AAAAGAACAAATATTTAAGAAGGTAGATACATATAAAAAGAATAGATAAATAGAGCTTCGTATAGGATCCAATGCAAGACTAAAAATAATTGAAAAATAGACATTTGAGAATGTAAATGAGATCGAACCATCTTAGCCGGAATTACGCTACTACGATTTATTTTATACAGATTGTATTGATCATATTTGATAATACATTTGTATGTTCGATAGTAATACAATGGCATTGTTTCTCTTTATTCGTTCATTTTCTTAAAGGAGTTATTAAAAAGGTAAACAGAGGAAAACAAGGATTTTAATTATTACGTTTTAACATGTTCACATTGGCATGTACCACCGGTGGTATACAGCTGTGTAATTTATAGTATTAAAATACATAAGTAAATTATTTACTAAATTCTTTATTTACATTTACACGCAATTAGCAATTAAAGTTGGAGACAACAATAACAAAAGAATGCATTTCAATGTTTTTTTGCGAATATTGTTATTATTGCGATTACGTTATTATCATGATTAAATGTATAAAAACCGGTCTCGACGTGAATGCGTTAAAGGGTACATTCAAAGATATCATGTCGTGAAAGATCTAAGTATATACAGAAATATGTGGTATAAAAATATTAGAAAAATTGAGAAATATCACAATAAATTTGTTATTCATTACTGCGCTTAATAGATTTTTGTGATTGCCTCAAAATATGTCAGAAGAATTTTAAGTATAATTATGCTTCATTTTGTAAAAATATTTTCATTTCACAATAAAAAACAAATTCTGTGTTGTAACTTCTTTCATAATTTTCAAACGAACAAGGTCCATTTTATCGAGTAGTATAATTAAATTTTATCTGAAACCCTCAATTTGCATAATAAACTAAAGAATATCCGTAAAATTTGTTATACGAAAGATATTTACGATTTTTTGAAAATATTCATCAATTTAATCATGAAGAATCTATGAAATCATTCTTTGTAAACAATTTTCATGTCACTTTTATAGTCAGCGCAAAACAAATTTTTAAAGTTGAAAATTTGATTTTTTTAAAATTAGTTTTCGTAAAAACTGGTTAGTAATGAAATTCAATTTAGTAAATGTGGTAGTTACTTTTTGCATCCTTAAAAATCCTTGTATTATCAATCTTTTTAATCTATTTACAGAGGACTTATAGTATGAAAATAATATTCAGAAACCGTTTTGTCTGAAACGGTTCATTAACAAGCTGTTTCCTCCTTTTCTTCAAGCGTGATGCAGTTACCACGTGAACTGACACGATGGTACTTTTCTTATTAACAAGTGCGTTTCACTGTGACAATTCCACTTCGCAACACAGTTTCATCTATACGCATTACATTTGTCGTTAATTACGTAGGGAAACTGTACAAGTTATTAAATAAAGCATCGATTAACCAGTGAACTATGTTTGACAACTATACGCATCATCTGAAAGCTTGAAATGTTACTAATTCTGTCAACGATGAATTTTTCATTTTTTCAGATAAACATGTAATTGTTCTTCGTTTTATTTTGGTTTTTCATTAAAATATACGCTAGCACATTCGTTCTGCGTTTGACGAGTACATACTTCATTTTTTGATTCTACTTACGCAAAACAAGAGACTTTTGAAACTAAATTCCGAAATTAACAGGTTAATTGCTCGATAGTTGTAGTGTTAATGTAAGTACGTCTGCCACAAAACATAATAGCTTTCTTGAGCGTCGAATTTTATTCTTCAAAACGCTGATATATGTACTTTTTATCTTTCTTTATTTATTTACGATTTCGTTTACGTTTCTTTTCTAAATTAAGTAAAATAAGTTAGTATATTTGAGGAATAATAGTCAATCTTCGCAGAAATTATCTGCTCTACTCCTGATGTTCAATTAATTATTCATGCGGTGTAGTCCGCTCTGCATTGATATTTCCAGTACGTTGTAATGATACGTTTCACACAGTTGATTTTGCGTCAACAACGTACACTAGTGGATCTTCCTGTTTAGAATACGCGTGTATATTCGTGGAATCGTTTAGTATATTGCATTCAAATAAGTAAATAATTGACCAACCGCCAACATTATAGACCACGAACGTCCTGTCGAAAATTTTACTGTTTAATTTTACAAAACGGCGAGAAGAGACTGCATGGACTCTACACCTAAACAAATTTGTAACTGTAGAAGTTAGACTCCCTGAATACCGTTCTCCATGGCCAATTAAATTCTATTAGAGAGTGTATAAATCAATATGCACTGTCAGTCATCAGTTTGAGAATACTTAACCCACTACGTCAAAAATAAGAAATTATGTATCTTACAAGTATATAAAATAAAATAATAGGATATCATATATCTTTATATTTTTCTAATTAAAAATTCTTCAATAAAGTTGTTTACAAAAAAATAGAAGTTTTTTTTTTAAATAGATGTATCGGTCCCTAACTTTTGATCGGCAATGTACATAGACGTATTTAATATCTTGTATTTTGTTTGTAGTTTTGAAAAGAATTTTATTATTGTGATTCCTTCATATTCTACATACGGCGTTAATACGATATTCTACGTTTATATTCATATGATTAATAGAATTTTAATGAAATTTAACTTTGGAATAGAAATTAATAGAGTATTAATAAAAATATATTTTTTTTTTCTGGGCACATATTTATCTTTTTAATAACTGCCGGAGAATGTACAAATGCACACAATTTTAATCGATGCTTTAAGAAGGTTTTAGTAATTACCAAACAAATTACTTAGGTCCTTCAGGCCTGATTTTTATACAGAATTATATTTACTTATTTAACAAAAATGGACCACCATTCAATGCATCATCAGTAACGACATTATTTCGAATAAAATAATGAGAATATACTACCTTTCTGATAGAAATAGACTCAAAGCAAAGGTGTATATGTCACGGTTCAAGTAATTAATCGGTTTATTTTAATAATAACCGGCCATTATTAATACTAAGCAAATAAAAAGGTCAAAGTGATTAATTTGTAAGGATTTATTATATAAACTGGTAATTATTAATAATTCGCAACAATCTTCAGTAAATGTAAGAAAAGAAGTGTTTCATAAAAATTATCATTTGTAGTATAATGTTACCAATAAATATAATTTTCTCGAAAATTCTTTATGTAGAAATAAGATAAGTGTGCAATTTTTGTTTCGTATTAATTTATATAAAAACGTTCTATTTTCTGTAGTATAGTTTTGCCACTAAAAATTATTTTATCATAACTCCTTTCTGTCCAAAAATTAAGAAATAATTGCTAACCACGTTAAATAATGTACTATAAATTTGTTCATAAATAATACAAAATAATATGAAAAAAAATTTTCTATTAAATATACCAAGCTACGCAAGTAATTATTAATAACTACCGGTAAATATAATTATTAAGATTTACTATTTATATTTTGCAAAAGATGCAGATATTATTAACAATGGCCGGTTGTTATTAATACAAACCAGATTTATTATATCGACCGTAACATGTATATGGTCGTCTGTCACAGTTTTGATATTTTATCAGATATCGAAGTAGTAAAACATTGTACGTTATAATGTACACTGGATCCGAAGGGATAAAGGGGTAAATCAAGCGTTATGTTATAAAATAAATCGCTTTCAACTGATAATAAAAATTGGAAAATGTAAAGGCTACTTACCGAAAGTCATTAAAATAATCACTGTCGTTAAAGTGAACTGTCCCAGCATGGTGGTTTTACCTCAAGATCTACGCCTGAGGTCTCCTTGTTGCCTCGTTATCTTATCTTCGGTAATAAAAGTGAGAAGTTTGTGAACGTGTTAAGCAAGTAGAGAATATGCACACGATTTTTCTTCTACTCAACAAACTGAAGATGTTAACAGTGTTAGGCTTCACTTGTTCAGTGGTTTACGAAGTTAAAATACTGTATTAAAATCATGCTTATAAAACAATTTAAAAATAAAGTTAATGTTTTTCAAGGTTTTGTAATATTTCTACAAAAATTAAGAATTGTAAACTAACACAGTAAAATATGTTTGCCAATTAATTTATACTTCAGTAAGTGATTATGAATTAAATAATATCATGACAATCAGTTAGTCAATTAATTAATTGTAAAACCGTTTATCTTTAGTTACCAGAAATAAATGTTCATGTTTCTGTATTTAATTTGTCTTACAGAACTTAATCATGCGTATTTTTGTTAATGTAATAAAGGAAATTAATATGTTTCAAGTTATTCTCCACCTGCAACCTGTAAATGTCATCATCAGAATTTTATTTAATTGTCCATTAGAATATTATCAATTTTATTGTAACGATTATACAATGTAATCATTTAATATACATTTTATTGCTCGTTATAATTTTGGTGCAATGGTTTTATTTGTCCTTGAGAAGCTCGATAGCATAATTTCTTTTTACAGACACCGACCAAAATATCACGATTTACAAGCCCGCTCATCCGTTTAATACACACACGCACGTATATGATTGTATATTTAATTACTTATGCTTGCAAGGTCGAGCCTCGATAAATACCCATCGATCGCAAATGCATTTCAATAAATACAATAACGTTCAAAATTCATTTTCATTGAAATTACGCAATAACTATATAGACCCCACGGGTTCGGTATACAAAGTTCCGCGAGCAAACTCGTCGAGAATCAAGAAGTATCGTCTCGAAGCGAATCGAGTCGAAAGTCATACATCCCTTAGGAATCATTTCACGCGCTTAATTTCATATGGTTAGTTTGGACGCGCGAGTAAACAAGGTGATACGAAACAATGATCTCAAAACGAACTTAATATTAGTTACTTGGAATCTTTAATTATAGAATTGAAAACGTAGAAATTCAATCGATAATTGCGCTATAACTTTTGAAATCACTTTTAAAATGACTTCTAGATATAATTTTTAAAATTAACTTTTCAAATATCTAGTAAAATTAACTTTTCAAACAACTTTTAGAACTAACCTAACTTTTCGTGCTGTAACTTTCGAAAAATGTTAGGTCAGAAAACATTTCCAACAATTCTAACGATTCGTTGTTGAAATTTTTTAATGTGTACATTCAAGTTCAACTGATAAGTTTCAATGTTTCCCTGAATGAAAGTACAACGATATACGATTTCTTGGAACTAAGAATAATGACAACTTTTAGGTCCGTTGTTGCGCTGTGTAGCCGTGAAACAACATGAAACATCGATGAACAGTATGTATATGTGTTCGAGTTTTAGAATGCGCTATGAGATCGATCGTGACACGTCTCCGACGGCGATCGTAGTCAATTTAATAAAGTGGCACGTAAAGGTTACGCCCCGTTGTAAAAGCCACCAAGGATTACAGTTCCTAGAAGGAACAACAGAATGACGAAGATTCTGGGTGAGAGGCCAGTGGAAGTATTGCAAGCATCGTGCATACAAAGATCACAATGTTCTAGGCTGGAGAAGTCGTTGTTCATCTTCCCCTGTATTGATTTGCAGGGATCAATGTTCTCTGCCTTCGCTATCTGGCAGTTTCTCACTACGACCTCTTCTTTTTTAACTGATAACAAATTAATGAACATGTCTATCAGTAAAACGCTGGTACGCAAAGGCATCTAAATTATTAGATTTTCAACGGAAAAAGAATATATGTAATTTTCTTTGAAAGCTTTGTAAATTCATTTTTGGCACAAAATAAATTAAAGCTAGTTTTAGTGAGATATAGATATCCACCTTTTATATTTATTACAATCAAAGACGTGCGATATCCTCATAAATTAATCATTGTAGAATATGATTGTGAACATGTTTTCTTTGAAAGGAAAATAAGTTCATTTCTAACTAAAAATCGTTTAGTTTAACGTTTGCCAATACACTTAAGTTGATTCAAACGCAATCTCAATCTATTAAAAATGGAATTATATCACTTTTTTTTAAAAACGGCTCAAAAATGGACTTATACCTCTTTTAAAAAAACCGCTCAATTTATGAGAGTATCATATGTCATTGATCGTGTGATTATAAATATAAAAAAAGGATATTTATATCTCACTAAAACTACCATTAACTCATTTTTTTCCAAAAATTGATTTACGCTACTTTCGAAGAAAACAATTTAGTTAATCAAAAGAAATTTAGCTGTAAAATGTTATCGCAAAAATGTTTTCTTTGAAAGTGGAATAAGTCCATTTGTAGCTAAAAGATTGTTTATTTTCTTTAATAATTTTATTAATTATTATTGCGTAATGAAGTTTAACAGGTTTATGGTTTTATAAATACTAACCGAATTAATGAACGTTTGCAAGTACTTTTAAAATGATTCAAACACAAATTCTTAAATATTTTA